ACCCTTTAACAAGAATAAGGAACATAAAAGTGCCGACAAATTCCAGGGTAAAGACAATAATATTCTATTTAATTATTATATTTCAAAAACTGAAGGAAAACAGGTTGGGTATATTTCTGATCAAAATAGTTCTATGAAATTAATGCTTTAACATTAATCCTCTTCTCTCATATGCTTTTCACACTATGTAAACATATGATAAATATACAACAATGACAAATTACTTTAAACTGAAGGTAAAGCTCAACTCAAAAACAAGGCAGATGGAGGTAGAACAGAAACACCGGGTGTGTATTTGCGGGGTTTTCGTTGTTTTGGGTGGGTGGTAAGGGGTAAGCGTGACAGTGGAGGAGAAACCAATACCTAATAGTACAAGGAAACTGAACTAGAGGGAAATCCAGTGTAGAACTCTTGCAGCATATTGGGGAATGAAAGAACTCCATTTGGATTAGGGAACTGAATGCCAGTAATTTCACAAAACTTGGATTACAGCCAGGCTATAAATAAGAAAACAAAAACAAATAAATAAATAAAAATTTCAATGTACACAGTTATGGTTAAGATCCTCAACAACATGGGACTGATATTCAAGGACAAGAATTATGCAACACACGTGACCAAATGTAAATAAAGAATTGATATTTATTGGAGTGAACCAATTGGAGGTCCTGGAAATAAAAGATGTTATTAACTCCAGCGATCGTGTCAGGAAGATGAGTGTCACACATTGTCACATTTTTAGAACAAACCATTCTTGTACACAGACAGAATTTTTTTTCACTATTCCAGGAACACTTTATTTAGGATGTTTACTCATTGTTCCATATGCATAAAATACCAGAGCAAAGATGAGATATTCGTGTCAAGACAAGACCTAGACCAGGGAATGGCATCTTCCAAGAACATGCCTATGCCGACAAAGCCTATGTCAAGAGGTGCAAATAGTGAAGGCATGACCAAAGTCTGGTACCAAGGCTGCAAAATAGGAAACAAGTCCAAGTAATACAAGGGAAAAATCACAGGCTAAAACGGAGGCTTATTCTCTTGGATGTGGTCTCCTGACGATGCCAGACTCTTGCAGAAGACTCAAAGCCTAGCTATGGCTCTGTCATTCTTACAGGCTTGGTCCTTTGTGTATTGCATCTGAGTCTGATCGTTTCCAAGTATCTCTATCAACAGCACATTCATAAGCTGTCTGTTAGACAGCAGGGTTTCTACAGATGGCTAAGCTTACCCACTTTATGTTGATTTCATTCAGAGGGTGACTTAAAACACTTTTTATTGTGAATTAGGTGAGGGTTTACATATTAGATCATACTTTTTTGCATTTAATAATTTAAACAACTTAGCAGACCTGAGTGGCCTACCTGATCTCACCCTCTTTTTGTGCTTCTGCCTTGAGTAGGATATTATCTTCGCTTTCACCCAAGTTAACACATGTCTATCCTCTATTCTCCTACTTTCCCTTCTCTCCAACTCT